AAATCTATGCATGCCTCTTTGGACCCTCTTTGTTATTGAACCTCTCTGGGGCTATGGATTGTAGTATGGTTATCCTGTACTTTACATTACTTCTAATAGTCACATATGAGTGAGTACATACCATGTTTGTCTTTCTGAGTTTTGGTTACCTCACTCACAGTTACTTTTTCTAGTTCCATCCATTTGCCTGAAAATTTCATAACGTCGTTTTTTTTTTGTTTTTTTTTTTTTACAGCTGAATAATACTCCACTGTGTAAATGTATCACATTTTCCTTATCCATTCCTAGGTTGAGGGGCATCTAAGTTGTTTCCAGGTTCTGGCTTTTACAAATAATGTTACTATGAACATAGTTGAGAAAGTGTTCTTGTGGTATGATTGAGCATCCTTTGCATATATGACCAAGACTGGGATAAGTGGGTCTTGAGGTAGATTGATTCCAATTTTTCTGAGAAACTGCCATATTGATTTCCAAAGTGGCTGTACAAGTTTGTGCTCCCACCAACAGTGGTGGAGTGTTTCCCTTACTCCACATTCTCTTTAACATAAGCTGTCATTAGTGTTTTTATCTTAGTCATTCTGATAGGTGTTAGATAGTATCTCAGAGTCATTTTGATTTATATTTCCCTGATGACTATGGATATTGAACAATTCTTTAAGTGTATTTCAGTCATTTGAGATTCTTCGGTTGAGAATTCTCTGTTTAGATCTTTACCCCAGTTTTCAATTGGGCCATTGGGTATTTTGATGTCTAGTGTCTTGAGTTCTTTATATATTTTGGAAATCAGCCCTCTGTCAGGTGTGGGGCTGGTGAAGATCTTTTCCCATTCTGTAATGCTGTCATTTTGTCTTATTGACAGTGTCCTTTGCCTTACAGAAACTTTGGAGTTATGGAGAAACATAATGTCAAGAAAACTCCCAGGAACCCACAAGGGTGAAGCCCAGCTGAGACTCCTACCAACAGTGGAAAGGCTGCCAGAACTGGTCATCTACTGTAATCAGATTGGTGACTACGCTAATTGCCATCAAGAGTCTTTATCCAGTGTTTGATGGAGGCAGATGTAGAGATCCACAGCCAAGCACCAGGTAGAGCTCCGGGAGTCCTCCTGAAGAAAGGGAGGCGGGATTGTATGAGTCAGGTGGGTGCAGGACTCAAGGTCATGAAAGGGGAACCCACAGAAACAGCTGACCTGAGCTTGTGGGAGTACATGGACTCTGGGCCAACAGTTAGGAAGCCTGCATAGGACTGACCTAGACCTTCTGCATGTGTGTGACAGTTGTGTAGCTTGGTCTGTTTGTAAGTCTCCTAGCATTGCAAACAACACTGTCCCTGGCACTTAGCTGGCTTTTGGGAACCTGTTCCCCATGCAGGATTACCTAGCCCAACCTTGATGATGGGGGAGGAGCTTGGTCCTGCCTCAGCTTGATATGCCATGGTTTAGTCAAGCCCTTGGTAGGCCTGCTGCCTCTGAATGGAGGAGGAGGAGGAATGAATGGGAAGAGAGTAGGTGGCAATTAGGGGGATGAAATGTGTTGGCAGCGGTTTCTGGCCTGCCTGGTCCCACAGCTGTTCAGTCCTAAAAAAAAAAAAAAAAAAACTACGGAAGCTTATATTAATTATAAACTGGATGGTCTATTAGCTCAGGCTTTCTTAGTAACTAATTCTTACATTAACCCATAATTCTTGTCTATGTTTGCCACATGGCTTGGTACCTTTTATCAGCAAGGCATTTTTGTCTTGCTTCCTCTATATATGGGTGATTACTGCAGACTGAGTTTTTCCTCTTCCTAGAATTCTCCTGTTCTCGTTGTCCCACCTCTACTTCCTGCCTGGTTGCCTCACCTGTACTTCCTGTCTGGTTATTGGTCAATCAGCATTTTATAAAAAAAAAAAATACAAGTGACAGGGTACAAGACCATTGTCCCACATTAGGAATGGGAAGAGAGGAGGGCAGGGAAACTGTGGTTGATATGTAAAATACATTTTAAAATGTTAATTAAAAGAAATAAAATTAAAAATACAATGTTGTAAAGCAATCACATTGTTAATCAAGTTTCTAAAATTATGAATATTATAAAATTGAATGCAGTAGCATATTAAAAAGTGGTGTAACTTAAGTGATTGCTAGCAACTGCTTTTGCCACCACAGAGTTCACGTGCCATGGATGCTTCCTTCATTGGTGCTTCTTGCTGAAAAAGAGTTTCTTAAAGAAGAGGAATGAACAGCAAGAAGGTACAGTTAGAAACAAGAAATGTTCCCAAAGGAGTCACTGTCTTATGAGCTCTAGAAATTAATATTCAAAAGTAATTCTTTCTTCCCTGTATTTTAATATTTTTCTTTCTGTGTGTAATGCTTTGAAAAATAAATATTACCTTTATAGTTTGAAAAATGTGCAAATATTCAGAATAAGCAAACAAATAACAACAGAACTAAATATGAACCATCCTGAATGTTCCTTCATGGGGATGTGACTGTCGGAAACTTTAACATACAAAACTAAGGCAGTTTGGACTGAGGTTTTGCTCTCATAGTCCTGTCCAAACCTGAACATTCTTCATTGACCCAACAGCATTTTAATTAAGATCATTTGTCTGCCCAATATCTCAGGAAAGGTGAGATCTGGATCCTTACTCTAAAAAGCCTGGACCAAGTCACCAGAGTCACTATCAACCTCAACCCTCTTGTCAACTGAAAGTTCAAATTTGTGTAGGGCTAGCCTAGGTTAAAGCTATAGGCCATCGTAGAAAATCTGGTCTCTACTCTCTGGGTCTTCTTTATTATGAAATATAATCAAAACAAAGAGTTCAAAATTTGAACCAATTAAAATAAAGATTCATTAACGTGGAAGCTCACTCATTAATCAAACTGCTGTCTGCCAATAACTACTTATAACAAAATTCATTTGATGAAAGATGTGAAATTTTACTGAATATGCAGACAAGTTATAAGCTTTGTTTATATGTGCATAGACACAAACATGCTTATATATGCAAATGAGAATGTTATAAATATGACTATATGTAAGTTTGAAATATAATATCCATCAACTAAAGTATTTAGATCTCAAAATATCTGACTTCATGGACTGTGAAAATGGTAATAGCCTCTCACTGATTCCTACAAGTTCCTGGAAACTAGAATTCTTCCAGCCGAGCCCACCTGCCTCTGACTTCCTTCTCTTCAGATGTCACACCTCCATCTCCAACTTGAATGGTCCTTATTCATATAAACCTGAAATTTTCTTGTTTTGACCATTTGAAACGAAATAAAAAGCAAAACTGAAACAAAAATGAAAACCTATCACATAAGGAAACTGTAAAAGTGGGTAGTTTTTGCATCCCCGAAATGAAAAGGACTAAAAGTTAAACATTATCCATTTCGATCTGATACAGTCCCTGGGTTCTTTCTGGTTTCCAGTTTGGGAGAATCCACCAGGCTATAATACTGAAGTTCTTATCCTTAGCCCACAGACCCTTATCCTCCTGGTTTATACTCTGTTTTCTTGACTCTTCCCGTTTGACCATCAACAGGCTGGCTTTTGCTTTTTTGTGATTTTTTTTAACCTCATTTTCTCAGGATCCACTTTAATTTCTTTGACCTAAAGTAGCTAATTTTTGTTTTCTAACACAAATCTTGAAACTGCCTAATTAAGGATAATTAATTTGTAATTCAATAAGGCATATTTAGGAAAGTCAGTAAAAAGATAACTTTATTGAATCCTGATTCAAAACAAAGAAAATTGATCAAATTGTTAGTTCGTTTAATATTAGTAAATGTTCCTTCTTTAAATCCATGAATTTGTGTCAAAACTAATATTGCATTAGACAGTGTGTCTAACACTCTGCAAATCCAGTAGCATGTACAATTATGCTTGTGAACTGTCCTCTTTTATAACCAGTCGACTGGACGGCTGCATTCAGCAAATGACCTAACCTATGACCTCAAAGGTGAGAAATTGAAAACTTAGGGTCTGTGTATGCTTGCTGCCTTCCATAAAATAACACAGAACAACAGCCCGCTTGCTTCAGTTCTTAAAAAAAAAAATCCACCCTACAATGAATACATGTTGCTGTAGACTGTTGGATGTCCGTTTACACTTTGAGAAAGCAAATAAAATTCTGGATGAAAATTCCTTCTGAGGGAGCATGCTGCTACTGCCACCTGGGGGAAGCTCTTTTCTGTTTTATTCCAGACAGCTGATGTTCTCAGGAAGGATAGAGCCCATCCCCACCTTCCTTGTGGTGTCCACACAAAGAAATTCCAGCCGACTCCAGATTGCCTTCACAGAAGTACTACGCAATAGACTTCATGGGAACCATAATAGAGCACCAGAATGTAACCAGAATGGGACTGCTGTATCCTATATGTGATGGGAAAGAGTTTGGGGAGGAATGGACTGTATACTAAGAAGTGGAGAAAGTCAAATCTGCGTTTTCAATATCAAAACAAAACTAATTTTAAAGAAAAATTATTTAATGGTAACGAACACTCAATTGTGCACCTTGAATATGTCATCATAGTTAATGATGATTATCTGATGATGAAAACTGCATGATCTCAAAAAGCACAGGAGATTTGAACAGGTTAAGATGATGCATTTCGAGTATGTAAAAACAACCTAGAGGATTTTTCTTATAGAATTTTGAATTTGTAAATTAAATACTGTTACATAGTATGTAATTATTATACACATGTTTGTTGATGTTTTATGAAGTATTGATGTAGCGTTCATCAACTGAAAGGGAAAACTTGTAACTTTGGCTAAGAATATTTCATACTTTATTCTAGGAACTTTGTTATTTATTAGAAACGCACTCAATCCAAGAGTCTAATTCTAGAAACAGAGTTTTCAGGAAGTATCTTTTAAAATTATAGGCCTGTCAGGTAACATCGGTAGGCTCTGATTAGAAGACAGCTAATCACTTATAAAGAGGATGTCTGGTAACAGATTAACTAAGCAAAATAATGCAGTATCAGTCACCTGCTGGTACCACGCAGCCAGGAGACTAAAGTTCATTTCAAAGAATAAACTGTACCAGATCCAAGGAAGTCTGTGAAGGCTACGTTTCCAGGACTGGAAAAGGTAAGCGGCACACAGTTGGTTTTAAAACATAGTAGATTTGTGATTCAGGACTAGAGAGAAATGAATGGCAACTCAGAGCAGGTGACATAGATGAATGAGCTACAAGAACTGAGAGCTACTTCGGGGGCCATTGGAACCCATGACCTTTTCTTCAACTGTGTGGCTCCTGGAAGGTATTTGTGATAAAGCTGGGAAATACTGGGGTGAGAGACCTTAGAGAACACCATATAATAGAATTGTAAATCACAAGCAAAATAATCCCTATTACCTATTAAAGTGTCTTTATTTATGATTCAGCAAATTGAGGTCTTCTGACAGTTTGCCAGTAGTTTTGCTTATCAGTCAATGAAAAAGACCAATGGCCTTAAAAAGCTCTGAGGCTTCTTCGCTGCAGGGGAACTGACAGCACCGTACAGGGTCTTTCCGTGGGCATTCTCCCGCTTCCTCAGTGCGCTAGAGAGTTTCATCCAAGAGTCCATGCTTTGTAATGGTCAACCACGCAGGAAGGAGTTGATCTCCTAATAGAAATTACTAGTAGCCCTCGTTTTCATTAGACTGTTTCCTGGTTGTAAAGCAATGTTTCAGAAGGAGACACAGTAGCCATATTTTGCAGCATGTACATTTCCTAGGAGATCAGCATTCAGGAAGCAGGGAAGACAAAAACCTGCAGTAGGCATTCATATATTCAGGAACTGGGGAGATGGGCGGGTGCCGACACTATTAAAATGCCAAGCAGGCATTTCTCTTCTGAGAAACACACACTCATGCTCTTAGGCTGGCTTGACTGCATTCGTAAGTATCTCTCTTTCTCCTAATAACTGTGCTTTAAAACTGTGTTAGAATCACTTTTAATTCTAAGTCTGATTTTTAAACATTAAATTAGATAACATAATGCCGAATGGACCTGGACGTAGTGGCTCATGCCTGTAATCCCTACACTCCAGGGAGGTGAATTCAGGTGAAGAGCCATAAGTCTGAGATCAGTTCAAGCTACATAGTGAGTTCCAGGTCAGCCTGCCAACCTGTGATACAGAATGAGACTCCTGTCTCAAAGTGGGTGGGGGAATGATTGAAAGACAGTTCACTGGTTAAGAGAACTGGCTGTTCTTCCAGAAGACCGTGGTTTGAGTCCCAGCACCCGTATGGGTCGTCCACAACCATTCTTAATTCCAGTTCCAAAGGATCCAACACCCATCTTCTGACCTCTGTAGGCACCAGGCATACATGTGATACACATACATGTATGCCAGCAAAACATTTATACATATGAAAATAAATAAAACAGAAAGAAAATTTCAGAAAAGAGAAAAAGAAAGTAGCGAACAGGGCCTCTTCCTCCACTGCTGTGTTTCTACTTCTTCAACAGGAAATGAATTTTAAATCTTCCCCAGGGGTTCCTGAACTCAGTGATTTCAAGCCTGAACTCTCGCTTCCACCACATGGAGGCATCAAAATGTTCTCCCTAAATGAGTTTATCTTCATGGGATTTGGCTTCTCCCCTCTTTTCCTGTACTTATCCTGTCCTTAGACATTCTTTGCTTCTATTTGGTTTTTCTATCTTTCCCCACTATCGGTTATTGCTATTCCAATTTCCACTCTGTCTGTGTGGCTTCTGTAATGGAGCACATGGACCTGCTTAGGTCACTGTAGAGGAGGAGGAAGCACATCACAGGCAGAACAGGAAGCTCTCCGTCCATGGGTGCTGCATCTGGAGATGCACTCAATCACAGACTGAAAATAGTCAGATAAAAATGTCTCTTTTTATACAGAGCCTCTTTTTCTTTGTCATTGGTCCTCCAAGCACTGCAGAAGGACAGTACCTACACTGTACTATTAGAATTATACTAAGTATAATCTAGATATCATCTAGAGTATTATAAAGAGTGCTGTCCATAAGCTATATGAATACACATCATTTTATATAAGCAACGAGAACAAACAGGTTTTGGTAAACACTGGGGCAGTAAGTCATTCCCCCATAGACACCGAGGGACAACTGTCCACAGATTACCCCAGGCCATGCTGGAGACTATCTACTGGGTAAGTACAGACACTAAACTTTCTTTGTGGTGCCCTTCTTTACCCACAGCTATGACAGACACCAGCAAGATGATCATCAATTTGGCTGTCTTTGGCAGGACGCAGAGTGGAAAAAGTTCTGCTGGGAATATCCTCTTGGGAAGTGATGACTTCTACAGCGGTCTCTCTCCAGGTTCAGTGACCACAGAGTGCAACCTGGGCCGCAGCTGCCAACTCCACAGCTTCATGCGTCGAGGGGGACAAGAAATCACCCTGCAGATACAGGTGTTGGACACTCCAGGGTATCCACACAGCAAGCTGAGCATGAGACGTGTAAAACAGGAAGTCAAGAATGCCCTGGCACATCACTTTGGGCAAGAGGGTCTCCATCTTGCTCTGCTGGTCCAGAGAGCTGATGTGCCTTTCTTTGGGCAGGAAGCATCTAATCCAGTCCAGTTGATCCAGGTAATACAAAGATGCAATCATACTGGCTTCATTTTTCCCACTTGAGGGCATTCTCTGCAGAGGCAAGGCCCAGGAACAAACTGGCTCAAAAGATACTTGAACTACAAAGTGTTAGTCATATATCAATAGTCAGTAAAAAGTGACTTAATTTTCTTCCAGTTCTATTTTATAATTTCCTTTAGAACTGTGGTTCTCAACTTTCCTAATGCTGTGACCTTTTAATACAACTCCTCATGTTGTGATGACTCCCAACCATAAAATTCTTTAATTGCTACTTTATAACTGTAATTTTGCTACTGTTGTGGATAGTTATGTAAATATATGACATGCTAGATATCCGACAAGAGACACCCAAAGGGTTGCAACCCACAAGTTGAGAACCACTATTCTGAGTCATAGACAGAAATTTCTAGAAACCAATTTTCAGAAGTTAAGCCTTAAATCCTTAAGAACCTTGAACTTGAGTAAGTTTGTAATAAGTAATAAATAATAAGTAATAAAAACCCAGAGACAGACATTGGGTTCAAGCTTCAGATCAGAAAAGCAAAGCAACCAAGCCAATAGAGAGTTCTTACCTCTACCAAGGCTTAGACAAACAAAGGGTCAATCCTGTCTTCAGTGTGACTGTAGACTGGAAAGTTCTCCACCAAACCTGAGACTGCCGTGAGCTTCTGTCTTTTTCTGTCTTATATCCCTCTCTCTGCCCACCCATACCACTCCTGTCTCCACCTCTCTAGTGCTGAGATTAAAGGCATGTGACTCCCAAATACTGGGATCACCTTTGTGCGAGTTTTAAAATTTCTCATTTTAGACAGATCCAATGTCATATAGCCCATGGTGGCCTTGAGTGTTGTGATTAAAGATGTGTATCACCATTCCCTGGGCTCTAGTAGCTTAGCTCTGTACTCTGATCATCAGGAAGGCTTTATTTACTAAAACACAAATAAAATGTCACTTTATTTGGACTATCCGCACCAGAATCAGCTGGGTAACTTGTTAAAAATTCAGATTTTCCCATTACTATTGAAACAGTATCTCAAGAGTGAGACTTGTGTATCTGCACTTTCGTATGTGTGTATAATATATACATATGTGTATATATAATACACACACACACACACACACACACACACACACACACACACATATATATATAAAAGGTGGGTTCAAAATTAACAACTGAAATGCCAACATACCACACAACATCAAGGGGACAATTTGTAATAATTCATGAACAATGCATATTTATCCCCTGATGATTATCACACATAGTGCAGAACACCTGCAGGGACAGGAGGCCTGAGTACAGGAAGCTTATAATTTAGAAGAGACAAATAAGTGTGCTTATTTGACAATGTGCTAACTCCGAAGTAGTGTACTGGCTGAGAAGCGTGATTAGCATTAAGGCAAACGTTGCAGAAAGACTATGCATGATATAGGACATACTTACACTGTGCTGTTAGAATTATACTAAGTACAATCTAGATATCATCTAGAGTATTATAAAAAGGGCTGGGCATAGGTTAAGTGACTACTACATCATTTTATATAACTAATTTGAGCACGAACAGGTTTTGCTAAATGCTGGGGCAGTGAGCCATTTCCCATAGACACTGAGGGACAACCATACAGAGACTATCTTGGGCCAGGTCAAAGGCTAAATATTGGATAAGCAAAGACATCTAACTCTCCTTGTGGTGCCTTGTTTTCCACAGCTATGACTGGTGTTCAGATGAAGGACTTTCCCCCTTTAATAGCACATGACAGAAGACTGACCCAAATGGCAGATATATACTTAGTAAATGCAAGAAAGAAATCTGTAATATTCCATGTTTTCCTGCCACAGAATCCATAGACAATTTTCTATTCCAGCAATGAACTACAAAGACTTTAGGCAGACCCCAAATGATACATGCTGCATGTGTTTATACCTGTTTATTTGTTCACTTCTCAATAGTTGCTAAGTGGAGGGCTTCATTCATTAGACAGTCCAGCAAAGAAGCTAGGTCAGGAGAAGGGTTTTGGAGAAATACAGGATGTATACATGAATATTACCAGGGAAAGTATAGGAAAAAGGCCTGTGAATAGTGTTATTTACAATTCCTAGAAATTATTCATTGACCTGCTTCATTCTGGCCAAGCTCTTGGTTCTCTGGAGAGAGTTCACCCTAGGGGCTGCCCTAGTCACCGTGTTCAGATGAAGGACTTTCCCCCTTTTACTAGCAAAGACAAAAGAGTGATCCAAATGGCAGAGCCAGGTTTTGTTTCTCAGTGGTTATGACTAATTGTAAAAGTTTGGGGAAAGCCAAGTGTGTAATCACAAGAGAGTAGCAGTGAAAAACATGGAGGGACCAGAGCAAAACATTCATCTTCCAGCTCCTGAAGATTCAAGTCATGCTGTCAATAGTAAACAAGATGGTTGTAATTAAAATACAATATGAAATCTAAGGCAACCACACAGCTTCCCACACTATTAAAGCTTATACTTCAAAGCATTTCTGGTAGGAATCAAGTAGCAGGAAACCTGCACCCAAACATCAGAATAATTTTAAGAACATATTTAATGTTCACTTATGGCTGTTTTTCCATAAACTCAGTAAATTCAGAAACTGATTCTCAAAAGTCATCTTGACTCTCTCCATATAACTTACTATTCTTCCCTGTGGTTGAATGCTGAGGCCAGAAGAATTTCAATATTATACATATTGAAAATAGATTCTCCTAATGTTAGTATACAGAACATTATAACCTATGTTTTGCTGCAAAGCAGTTTAATTCATACTCATGTCTTATCTCCTGAAATGGTACCTGCATAGCTTTCTTCGACAGCTGCCTTCCTTAAGCCATTGTCTATGTAAGGATTGGAAGACCAACAGGAGATGGGTACAAGGAAAGCTCAGATCATGTTTCGTTTTGTTTTGCTTTTTCTAGAATAAATAACTTCTCTCTTTTTCTGAATATCAACAAACAAGACTTATCAATCCTCAGCATAGTTCGTGAGTGCTGGAAGCAATTGCAGACTTGTTTGGAGTCCCTCTTGGTCTTCTGTTGATGGTCTCTGAGGCCAAGTTGGAAGCTTATGACTTCCTTTCTGCAGGTGTCGCAGATACCCGTGACAGCTGGCTGTATGTGCTCCCAGATCAGGAGAGGCTGCCAGATGTCTTGATATTCGACAGGACCAAGAGCAGCTGTTTAAGGGGCTGTTAAGGTTCCTGGGTTCCAGGCATTCCCAGGATTTTGTTTCCTTCTTGGCTGATAAACAAGAATGAGTAACTGTCTCTTCCCTTTCTGGGTAAGGAGGGAGTCCTGGCATGGAAAGACTGGCCTCGTCTTTCTTGTGCCTTTCCGCTGTCTCCTGCTTTGTGTTTTAATATTTTGCTTTAATATTTCTCATAGGCTGCCAGCTGTGATGATTAAAGCATTCCTCCAAATGATTTTATTCTTTATTTATATTGGGTCCATACTAGAGATGTCAGTGAGTTGTATCCTCCAAAATGGAAAGGAATGTGTGTTACTGGGAATATTATTTGAATGTTAAAAAGAAAATCCACAAATAAATCAGAGAAAATATAATGCAGTCTCCTCCAATAAAGAACCAACCTGAGGGAGACAAAGTCATTCTAGGGATAAACCTATGAATTGACTAGAGGCTATTCTTTTTTGTTTTCTTTTCTTTTATTTAAATAGCATTTTTTTCATTTATTTTACATACCAACCAGTTTCCCATCCCTCCTCTCCTCCTGTCCCTGCCCCTTTCCCAACCATCCGCTTCTCCATCCACTCCTCCTCCATTTCTATTCAGAAATGGTCTCCCATGGGCTTGCACAAAGCATGGCACATTCATTTGAGGCAGGACTGAGCTTCTAACTTTAAGTGGAGGTGGAACCAGGTTACCAAAAGCCAACTAAACACCAGGCATAGATCCTGCTCTCACTGTTACAAGCCTTCTTAAGAGACCAAGCTACGTTGTCACTCACATACACAGGGCCTAAGTAGGTCCCATTCAAGCTCCCTAACTGTTGGTCCAGCACCCATGAGCTCCTGTAAGCCCAGGTCAGCTGTCTCTGTGGAATCCTCCATCATGACCCCCTGGCTGGTACAATCCCTCCTTCCTTTCTTCCACAAGACTCTCAGAGCTCAGTGCAGTGAGTCAGGAAGTGGTTGCTCATGCCTTTAATCCCAGCATTTGGGAGACAGGGACAAGAAGATCTCTGTGAGTTCAAGGCCAACCTGGTCTACCGAAACAGTTCCAGGATAGCCAGGGCTACAAAGAGAAATCCTGTCTTGGAAGAAGGCTTAGGGAGAGGTAATACAATGTATATTCTTTTGTACAGTCATGGGCAGTATTACTATTGTGAACAAGAAGTCTTCCAGAATATATTTTTGTCTTAGAATCAGTCACGCAACTGTTGATGTTGCTGGTGGGTGCTCATTAAGACTAAGCTCACAATGGCCAGTGATGTGCCGGCATGTACCAGACAATCTTATGAGCCTCGTCAGCTGTTATTACATACTCAAAGACAAGTCTAATGTTACTAGCGCTTCTTGGTTTTAGAGTCTCAGTCACAAAGGATGCTGATTGATATTAAAGATGTTTACACAATCGTATTAGTGAATCTGACATGTTTAGCCCTGATCTCACCTTACAAAGGAGAGCCACTGAAAATGGCAAAGCAGTACTGTTACAACTGATGAACACTCCTTCAAGTGAATGACAGAGGGGCTGGCTTATTACAGAGGTGAAGAACATGGCTTCTGGGTAAGTTAGACATACCTGTTTTCAGGCTCCTTCTTAGCTACTTGTTTGCACTGTGACTCTGGGCAAGTAACTTCTCTAACCCTCACTGATTACCCCAAGTGTTGAGAGGATCTACTAACTTGGCCACTTTTGGGTTGCAACATGGTCTTGGCAGTAATAACTCCTTTAACTGAGACACTGACATGTAAGGGTACCGTAAGTGTTTAGCTGTGCGAGTTATATTACCATTATATTACTATTAGTCAAGGTTCTGACAGTCAGAAAACTTTTCTTAAGGTTTCTTAAGGCCTGCCAATAATTGCGATTATTATTGCCAATAATCGCAATGTGATCATGTGACTTCCATCAAGGTACTTACCATCACACGGCCTTAATACTCTCATCTTTAAAATGAGGCGATTTGGAGAGATGCTTTCTGGTGTTGAATATTCCCTAAATATGACTTGAGGTGTTACCATTCAGCTTTGACTATCTGGGAGGGAAAATGTAGCACTTTAAAGGAGGATGAGAGTAAGGGAATAGCACACACACACACACACACACACACACACACATGCACACACACATACATGTATGTGTGATCCTCCTGTTCCAGGATATTTTTTTTTCTTAGTTGATGTAATTGTTGGCTTTTTTTCTAACGTTTCCCCCTAAAAAGTCCAGATGCTATGATTTCATCAACCACAAACAAATGGGGCAGAGCTGGTGAGGTCCTGAGAAAGCGAACCATTCCTGGAAAACAAAGTTTACATCCTCACTAGCTGTCTCAAAAGGACTGGACGGAGTCATACCTGGAAGCACTGTGAGACCAAACAGTCCGTGGCTGTAGCATTTCTACTCAGCTTGGTTCTTTATTTAAATGATTAACACCAGACACATTACTTTTACTTGTATTGTCCTTGAATTTCTTTTAAGACATCGATCAACCACGATTGTTCATTTTCTGAGTCCGCAGAGGACATGCTCGGCCACTGACGAGATGACTATCACCAAGAGACACTGTTTTCTGGCCAAAGACCAATCTAAAGATTAGAAAGTAAATTGTCATCATTTTCTGGTTTGGGTAGTAACTCAAAAGTGTGTTTTCTCTCATAGTTTAAGAGATAAGTATCCTTTCATTAAAAAAAGAAAAAAGTCTTTAAAGGATTCCCTGTGACAGAGCATGCGGGCTTGAGAGTGCCAAGGTGTTTAGTGATTCCACTCATCTCTCCTGGGCGAGATAACATTGAAGTATAGGACCTACCAGAATGAAAAAAAGGGGGGGTCATGTTGTTACAGAAAACCAGGAACTAAGAGAATTATGCCACTTACTTTTTAAAATATTAACTCAGTAAGAAAAGAATTGTGCTATGATACATACCTCTAGAAAGCGTTGGACAAAATAGTGTTTGTAGCGTGTACTTTTATTATGATGATAACTCAGAAATATTTAACGGCAAGTATGGTCTAGGTACCAACCAAAGTCATCAGGACGGAGGGTTTGGTGGTGCTCAAGGGCTCACAGCGCCAGTTATTTCCTAACTTGTACATAAACATCTTAGTATCCTGACAATCTCTGGGGCACCGGAATGGTACACTGGGGTGCTAAATGTGAGAAACGTTCAGATAGGAGCGTGATCAAGGATCAGTAGCTGGACCCGAATGGAAATAAAGTCTAATATCATACAATCCCTACTCTTGCATGTTGTTAATTCTATTTTACTTTTGGTATTATCTATCATCATCAGTAGGCTGTGAGTATGTGTCTAAGCACGGGGTCACAGCATGAGTTTGGAGGTCAGAGGACAACTGGGATTGGGTTTTGTGTGGGTTTGAAGGATCTAACTCGGGATATCAAGTTACTGGAACTGGGGGGGTGGGGGCTTTCCTGGTTGCCTGATGATACAGGGAAAATCCAGGTCCCTTCTTGGGGATCTTAGTCTCAATAATATAATTTCAGAATGATTTAAACAGAAGCTAAATGACAATTTTATTAGAATTTAAAAAGCAATCAGAGCAGGTAAGCTGTGAATCTCACAGGTACTCGAAGGAGCAGTGTGGAGGAGGGAAGAAAAAAAGCCATGCCCTTCAAGGCAGTGTGGAAGTCAAACACACAGTGGGAAAGCAGCCAAATGGTGAAATGGAGGCCTTCGAGAAAGAGCAAGAGAGCCCCCAAATGCTGGGGACGCTCAAAGTGTTAGGGAGAGCATGCTTTAAAAGGAGATCAAAAGAAGCAGGGCCGCGGCCTGGTGAGCACTGCTCTGTTAGTTGGGAATTCTGGAATTCTGGGACGGAGAGGCATGGTTGCTCATTAAAGAGAAAATTATTCCACCTATTGCTTTATCATGGCTTAGGTGAGTCTACCTTCCAAGGGGTGGGTTCCTTGACCTGGCCTAGCTGGGACATTGTGTCTCTACCCAGGTCAGAGAGCCTGTTCTCCTCTTGACGAGAACAAGCTTTCTCCCAATAAGCCTTTAGAATTACTCAGACATACAGGCTCACACTGTAAATACTTTTATCCCCTGAGCCATCTTGCAGCCCCATGCTAATCCCTTTGTGGCAAATAACAAGTATTTATTGTCTCTTAGTTCTTGAGGTCAGAAGTCTGAATTCAAAAAATTGGCAAGGTCTGTTGCTTCTGAGAGCCGTGAGGAAATGATGTGTCCCAGGCCTTCTCCTGGACTATTTTCTCCTGTACATGACTATTTCCAGGGTCCGTGACCTTTTCCTTACATTTGTGTCTCTGTTCACATTTCCCTGTTTTATAAGGACATTAATAATTTTGGACCAGGAGCTAACCTAATGACTTTTCCTTAGATTAATCACATCTTTATGACACTTTTTCCAAATAAGGTCACATTCTGAGGGACTGGGGATTAGGACTTGGCGTATGAATTAGGGAGAGGACACAGTTCAACCTTAATATCAATGCTCATTCACATCACAGCGTGTCTCCTCTCTACCAGAAATATGTACGATGCACTGCAAGCGCCACAGAGTCCTACCAAAATCCTTTTTCGTGTCATGGGTTGTTGGCATCAGTTGGCATCATATGGATACTTGGACTGGCAGAATTGTGATCTCCAGTGGTTGAACAAACAGGAGTTTTCAATGGACTTGGATTGAAAAGCACATGAGATGTGACAAATGCAGCCCTGCTTTGAATAATCCTCATGTATTCGCTGTTAAGATAATGTCGGCTCATACACTGATTTTAAAAAAATGGCTCATATTTTCTTGAAACAGGATGTTTTAAGGGGACCTGTAACTCTACAGTGTAGATAGGCAAATTCTGATTAGGTGGGAGCAAACAGGTAGTCTCTGTATGAAATCTACCACAATGAACTATAAAACTCAGAAGTACAGGATTGTGTCCCTGAGAATAAAATTCAGAACTGAAGCCTCAAAATTAAACAACTAAGCCTGCTATTTGGCTCAATCAAGAGGATCCAAATTCTAAAATATTCATCAGTTATAGGTGAGAGTTCACAGTGTGCCATACCCTGGGATGACAGCGCAGACACAGAACAAGCCTTCATAAAGGCCACTGCTAAGTTCCTGTAACATATGTATAAATAAATGGCTCTGATAACGGCCAGACTGTTTCCAGGAGTTGGAGTTAATATTCATAGTCATAAATATCTCTAAAATCCCCGCCTCAGAGTTTTCATACATATTTTCCTATTAGACTTACTTGTTCCAATTCCTTCCTTCACTGTCTCTTTTCTTTACTCCTTCCCTTCATTTTACTACACCATAAATACAGCCACGTATTTGTTATTACATTGCGACCTAGCTTTCCAGACTGTTTCAATGAAAACATTACTGATGTGTATGTAGTTCAGTGTGTCACTTTTCAATGCCACGACAGGAATAATAATAGTATTAGCGCAATTTGTGTGGAACACCAAAAACTTATGCATGTCAAAGCATGGTGGTGCCTGCCTCCAACACAGCACAACGGAGGGAAACACCAGGTTGGTATATTTGAGGTCAGCCTTGGGACAGAGTAAGAGTCTGTCTCACAAAACACAAACCAAACTGAAATGGGAGAGAAAGGGAGGGGAGGGAGAGAGGTGGCAGGAGACTCAAGAGATTGCCCATTTAAAAAGCATAGCATAATATCTGCCACGAATTCTTCATTTATTTCTGTTTGCTTTTGTCTAGATAGAAGTCCTTGCTATCTCTTGTCCTATTTTTTCATAGACATTTTGCAGTTTTTAAAAAGGTGCTATAAACTGGAAATATTTCGGTCATGGAAGCCTACAGAAGGGAGAGAGTGATACTTTACTGTCACTTGGCTATGATTTCATGTAAGTTTGGAAACATTCAAAAGCTAAATGGTTACTCCCAGATGCCTTGAGCATTGGATGAGCAATACGCCACATGCCATGGTTTCTGCTTCATATCAGCTAATTTTCAGTAATCAGCGAAGAATTTATTGCACAACCGACTTGTACATATCACTAAACAAAGGGACAACACTCTTCAGTGCTTCTCAAGAACATTAGAAGAGGCCATTTGATCAATTGCCTTTGATTCCAGGCATGTGGCAAGAGGAACATGAGGGTTGCAGTAATCTTGTGTAGCTGTTCCAACTTACCAAATGGATTTTGATCTTAGCTTTTCTGTTACTTGTCATCTAGTTAATCAATTGAGCATAACCAGATTATGTCATTTTAATCCCTTAGTAGATACTTTCGTGGTGATAACATGACATTAAAAAAAGAAAAAATAGATGTTGTAACAATTGCCTTTCTCAAAGTACCACAAATCAAAGGAACTGAGTGCTTCTCACAGAATCTGGTTGTGGAGTAAGTATAAGGGACCACTGAGTGCTGGCCATACTACATTCAGTGTAACCAGATTCTCTGTAGCTTTAAGTCTTTGCATATCAATTATAGCAGTAAAGCAAAACAGTCAAAGAAAGCCTTTTGTTGTTGTTCAGAAACCCCATCTATCTTCCTCAATGTCCTTACAACACTTGAGCTCACAGCCACTTCCTACTACATAGATCAGCTTTCAGAAATATCATGACACAGGGATCTGTTGGCTAATGACACTGGACTTTAATATCAGCTTTGTTCATTTTTGAGGAATAGAGTCCAAGGCAAACAGTCATTTAATTTCGCTCTTTCAGGAACTTCTGGGAGATTCTTGGAAGGATTACACTGCTGTTCTTTTCAGCCATGCAGAAAAAATAGAAGAAGCGGGGATCAGTGAAGACGAGTATTTGCGTGAGGCTCCTGATGCACTGGTGACTCTGCTACGCTCTGTTCAGCAGAGGTATACTTTCCTGTGCGAAAGTGGAAACTCGTGCAATGAACAAAGAATTAAAATCTTAGAAACAATCATGGAATTTATAAAAGAAAATCATTATCAAGTTCTCAGGTTTACATAAAACTTAAGCAAAAAGAAAAGTGTACTGGATATCTATTAGGGTCAGGAATCTGATTTTAAAATCTGCCTTTGTTCACATGAATATTGGAGATGAGAATTCCCTGTACTGCTGTATAGCCATTTTGGAAAACTGTAAATAAAAATTAATGACAAGGATTCAAGATTTCTATTACAAATCTCACGATGTCAGAATTATCCAACAGAGAGTGAACTTCTGTGCATTAAGAAAGAGGCATATATGAGAATGCTCATGATGGCACCATTCATAATAGTTAAAAACTGAAAACTAACCAAATTCTCATGAATAGAATGATGTGCATATTGCAGTATATTCACACAGTGAGGGGCTACAGTAATGAAAGTGAGCGAAATCAATTATCTCTAACAGTAGAGTCAACTGTTTGACTACAATGCCAAGAGAAAGAAGCCAGACATGAAGTGCGCTTCATGACTCCATTTATATAAAGGTCAGAAACAATCAAAATGAATGCTACTTAACTACTCTGGAGGTAGAAGTGCTGGAGACCAGGAGAGCAGAAAGATGCTGTGGGGTAGCCTTTGAAGATTTTAATGCTATTCCCTGGCTTGGATGCTGTTTCATAGGGCATGTACCTTTTGAAAATGAAGCAAAATTTCTTATAGTTCATAAGTTCCTCACTATATTTGAATGCAAGCTAAAATGAATAAATCTTCCTCATTTTTAAGAAATTAACCTCACTACTTACTTCATACAACAGACAGAAAATTGTACGACCTTGGAACACATAGTCTGTTTCCTCTCTTGGAACACATAATCCATAGTTACTGCAACAATTAAGTGAATTGGTATGCGACAGAGACTCAGTGCTAGCTTTCCTTTCTGCTTTAGGGAGACCTCCTAGCTCTGTTTAGGGTTAGGAATATTAAGGAAAACTCAGAGCAAGCTCTTTAGCAAATCCCATAATAGCTACCGTAGCTGACTGTAAGTGCAGCCTTCACTGAGGAAGAAGGGGCCCCTCCAGTTATTTGTTTGCTTTGCTAGAGAAGTATAAAGGTGATTTGGCTACGTAAGAGTGATCTCCAGGGTGGTCTGAATACACCAGAGATAATGAAAGGAAAGCAATTCTAGTTATTATAAGTCAAGTCTATCACCAAGGCAGAATCATATCACTGTCACGTGTGATCAGATAACAATCTTCCCAGAGTGTCACTAATTTATAAACTGATTTCATAAAGTTAAATTATGTTTTTATTTTTCTTACTGTGGTAGCCTGTAGTAATTTCCATTAGAAACAGGATTATGACTAATGAGTTTTCTCCAAAAGCAGTTCTCAAAAGGCTACTTTTATGCACACTATTATTTGAACTCTATCACATATGGTGATTACTAAACAAACAAACAACTTCCTACTTGTTAGGTAGACAGCTAAAGGGTATCAGAGATTGAGCCTTAATTCTTTTCCATTATTTTATTATATCTTTCCTTTATTACAAGAATTGTTTAATGATAATGGGTGCTTAATTGATACATAACATTTGTACATCTTTATAGTGTGTTGTGGGAATTCAATGCATGTCATATAATGTGTAATGATAAAATCAGGATAATAAGCATTTGACCTTTTAAATTATCAGTCATTTTTAATGGTTGGGAATTTTGTACTTCTCTAGTCAATTTGAAATATATCATAGTCAAGCTAGGCATGTGATCTAGTAGTGTAGTGCTTGCCTAGCTTGCAAAGGCCCCTGGTCCAATCCTGTCAAGGCAAAATCAGAACAACAAAATGAAATAATATTTGTGGGAAGAGGTGGGGTGAAAGTGATGAGCATGCATTGCATGTCTGTGTGACATGTAACAGCTTTAATAAAGAACAAAAAGGAAAAGTCTAGTAACTTACAATACTGTTATCTTGCGCCACATGAAAAAACACAAAGGATTTCTCAAACTCTGTAATTTGTAATTTTCTTGGCACCCAGAAGTTCAAGTTTTCTCGGTTATTTTTTGTTTTTATAAGATTTCCTGATATTATCAGATTAATTTTTCTAACTCTTCTCTCAAATTATTTTGTAGTCTGGGTACACAAGTGTCTTGTCAAATAAAACTGTTACAAAATCATCTCCTTTCTTAAAGCACACAGGATGATTCCCCTTATTTGCCCTTGGTATTTGTTTTATGGTCCTGTTATTTCTTGTATTTTCTTACTGTTTCCTATCATTTTGCTAATTTGATAATGTGGTATCTGTGATCTTTTGGAAGTTCTACTGGAATTCAATATGCATAACAGGAATCAGGTACATATTTCCTACCATTTTTGATAACAGAGTAACAACTGTTTGTTCAACCATGAACTACCCCACTAGTCATCCCTTCAACTAAGGGCGACTCCATCCCCCTGGAACTAGCACCTGCAGGGTTCCGTCATTTCCTCCTTATACCTTTCTCTTCCACCATCCTCCCACACAAGACAGCTTATGAATCCCCACATAACTGGACTCTGTGGAGGCAACTAACTCAAGACTTCCTCTTGTGCACTGGCCCCTTTGTTTCAAGGGTCAGTTTATACCACTTAACCTGCACACCCCTGATAGTTTATCATCTTTTTTAAAAAAATTATTTATCAGTATATGCAATACTAAATTTTGTTTTGCATTTTCAAATATAATTTGATTTTGTTGATTTGACTCTTCCCCTTTTCCCTCTACGTGACTCCTCCTCAATACTAGAAACTTGAATCTTTACCGGCCTTCATATTCTTCAATGTCTCTAGTGTTTCCTCCAACATACCCTGCACACCTGCTTATTCGATACAAAACCCTGAGCATATCCTTGCATGAACAGTGTGTTTCAGCAGTCCTGGGTCTTCATAATAATCAGCAAAAGGAATGGAGGAAAAGAATGTGTCCATTGGAATAGGGTAGCTGACTCTTACAAGCCACTGAAGTGAATAATTGCTGTATTCTTAAGGTTGAGCTGCGCAGCTCTTTCTGAATAATAGTTCAGCTATTTATCCACAAACTTAATCACCTCTGGAAATAATCGCAACTCACAAGAGACGCATGTGAAAAGGATTAGCTCTAGGCAAAATAAATGGCAATGCGATGGCTGTCCTTGGGTATTCTGGTACCTTTTTTGTTAGTACCTTTTATTTGCAGTCTTTCCTTGTGTTCTTCAGATGTCCAGTTGGGATGAAAGCCTCCTCTGAATACCAACAAATTTCTGCTGAATTTTAGACTGGAAAGGTTTTGAACATTTTGAAGCTCATTGCATAGCGTACTTGAATTTCTGAGCGCATAGCATAGTGCTTTTTGAGAAGCTGGGGCCAGAGCCTGATCAGTGCATGCCCTTTTGGGGACCTTAGTGATCACCTCCCAAAACCTACCAGCTCTAAAACTTACTGGGTTAATTTTTCTAGATACAAAACCTCAATGAATGATTTCTGACATGATTCTTGTTTTTATCTTTTTTCCTTTTTAAGTTATTGTAGAGGCTAAAAACTCACAACTCCTACCTCAAAGTAAATCCCTTAGAGATATTCAATTATGGACCAAATAGGAGTGGCTATGGCCCAGGAGCTGATTTCATACCCCAAATGCCATGTTCCGAGGTGATAACGGTTTTATGATGTGTTTATGGCAACAGAAAATGCCTCCTTTGGATAAGAGAGTGGAAGCAACAGGGAGGTGGTTACAGAAAGACATGGAGATCTTCTGTGGGCCTCAGATCTATCCAACAATAACCTTAGCCCACTAGTGGGTTACAAAGGAGGAACCCACTTGCTCCTACATTCCAAAGGTCATGAAGATGTTAAGTCTGGTACTGAGGAGGAAAGTAACTGGTTCTGAAGTGGGCTATAGGGAACCCAACTTGGCTCTGGACTTAAAGCATTCCAACCTCTTCACATCATTCAAGTTCTAACCAGTAAATCAACTTTGCAGAAGGTTCAGTGGAAGATGAGGTTCTTTTCAGAAACTTTGCTTCACACTGCTTTTTTAAATTTTTGTTTTGTTTTGTGATGTGGGGATGTCCTTCTGTATATGTATTGCTTTTATTGGTTAATTGAATAAAGCTGTTTTGGCCAATGACTTAGCAGAGTAAAGTAAGGTGGGAAATCTGACCGGAGATATAGAGAGGGTGTAAGCAGAGCCAAGGAGATACTATGTAGCTGCCGAAGGACAAAGATGCCAGAAAACCTTACCAGTAGCTCACAGCCTTGTGGTGATACACTGATTAATAGAAATGGGTTAATTTAAGAGATAAGAGTTAGCTAGGAATATGCTTGAGCCATTGGCCAAGCAGTGTTGTAATTAATAGAGTTTTTGGTGATGTTTGGGTCTGGACAGCCAGGAAACAAACAAGCAGTCTCCGATTCCAGTTTTCTTTTGAGACTTTATTTTTATTTTATGTGTGTGGATGATCTGCTTGCATGTATGTTTGTACATGATACATATGCAGTGTCCTCAGAGGCCAAAGAGGGAATTAAGTCCTCTGGGACTGGAGTTACAAAAGGTTGTGAGCTGCCATGTAGGTAAGAACTGAAGACAGGACTTCTGGAAGAGCAGCCAAGTGCTCTTAACTGCTGAGCCGTCTGTCCAGCTCCTGCAGCATGTTTGTGGATACCCTGCCTTTTATCTTAAAGAACACTTCCTTTTACCAGTCCACTAGCTTTTAGGTAGATCATATTTTGCTTTCACATAAGGCTAAAATTTCCAAGCATTCTTATAAGAGAACAGACTAAAAATGAGAGGGGAAAATGAAAATAAATTAATAAAGGAGTAGGGCCTTATTAGGAAACAATAGTTGTCCTTAGCTGAGATAAATAAAGGAAGTAAACAACGCCCAGATGACACATAGGTCACCATTACTCACTTACACACTAACCCTCCACACTAGGCCCTCTCACTTAGCTAGATCAGCCTTCCTGTACCTTTTAGAATGTTAACGGACATGTGGGGTGTGCATCCTGGGACACTGGCAGAAGGGTCAGACCATCTCTGCCTTGCAAGGGACTTTCACTGGAGAACAGAGACCATTAAGCAGGAAATTCCCATCCATGGCAGCATAAAGACTCCCTGGCCACCTCCCCGTTTAAAAATGGAGATTCCTTTTCTATGAAGCATATGGTCTCCATTCCATTTTCTCACGGCTGAGCCTGAGTGACAGTATCTCTTCGAGCAATTGTCGTTTCCTCCCTGGTTTGTTTCCATAGACGCAGCTGGTAGTAGGACGGCCAAGCACTGATAAAAGGATCGTTACTTTCAAATTTATTTTAAAAATAAGGTTCTTCCCACAAGCTTTAATTTTTTTTTTTTTTGGTTTTTAATATGTGCTTCTTCGGGGAGAAAATGTTATCTTTTCATATAACAAATGAAGGTTATGGAAGGAAGATGTTTCAGCCACAATTATTCTTTTGTTAACTTATTAAAAGTGGCTTTTAGTTTGCATTTTCATCAGTCTTTGAAAAGAGAAATTCAGCTGTGATGTTGATTTTGGATGACTCTTCTCTGCTCTTTCCAAATTTCCCAGGTGTGAAAATCTGAGAGGGTTTTAATGAACTAGTATCAGCCAAATATGTAATCTCAGGGCTAAAGGATGTATATATCAAAAGCATTCTCTATGGGGATGTATAATATTATAATGAGGCAATTTACAAAAACAAATGCAATACTTTGTCCAGAGTGGCCTTGCCAGAAAGGCCCCAAAGGCAGATGATTACACATTAACTGATATTTTCACAGCTCTGTGGGCACTGTGCAGCAAGGGAGAGCAAGCAGAATAGCTACCCCTCATCAAAGAGGGGTATTCATTTTTCTTGTGGTTCCTGAGCCTCAGGCTTGTTTTGCTCTTGTTGCTAACGACAATAGCTCACAAGATAGGAAATGATGATGATGAAGGCAGAAAAGAACACTGCATGAGATCCAGAGAACTGGGAATAGAGTGTCAGGAGCAGGGGGAGGAGAAACTGGGGATGAAAGGAGAAAATGCAAGCAAGGGAGTACATTAGGGTGAAAAAATACAATATTCCTAATTAACTCACACTCTGAAAATCCAGATGGCTTGCTTTCAAATCAGTAATTATTTCAGTGTTCCAGGTTTTTCTTCCAAATACTTTTGGAGTTAACTCCTATGAATCATGCCTGCCAAGACTTACTCAGAAGAAAATCCACAACCCTACAGTACAAGAAACAAGTGTGAGCAAGCTGTTCCACCCCATTCCAAATGAAATGGTACCTGATAATGCAGTTTTACATAGAGAGTTTTCTGTCTCACTGTTGAAAAACTTTCGGTTACCACCTAAGTATCAGCTATGATTGGGCACACCCCAAAGGGGCTATTCCTATTTAAAAGTCATCTCTCCATTCATCCATCCATCTTAAATCTAGTGACTCTGTCACTTTTGGTCATAACCCACTCTCTTGCTTTTCAAAAGAAATTGGAAAACAATATTTTAAAAGAAACTAGTAAACAGAAATTTTAAGTTTGATCAATCTAGGGAGAGATGTCCTACATTAATCATTAATAAATAAATGCCCTACAGATTTGCCTATAGGCAATAAGATACATTTTCTCAAAAGAGGTTCCTTTTCCCTAGAGTGTGTGAAAAATTGACATAAAATGAACAGGCCAATTCACCATTTGTCAACTTGACACACCAATACATTACCACTAAACCATAATCCTTTGTCTTAGTTATCATTCTATTGCTGTGAAGATCCCATAACCAAGGCACCTTATAAAGGAAGGCATTTAATTGCACACTTCCTTATAGTTTCAGAGAGTCAGTCTATGATCATTGTGGCAGGCAGGCATGGTGCTGGGGCTTTATATCCTCATCAGCAGGCAGAGAAATATATATGTATGTATGTATGTATGTAGATAGACAGACAGACAGACAGACACAGACACACACACACACACACACTAGGCCTGGCATATGGTTTTGAATCCTTGAAGTCTACCCCTTCCAACAATGCCAACCTCATCCAATAAGGCCGTACCTCCTAACCCTTCTCAAGTAGTTCAACTAACTGAGGGCCAAGCATTAAATAATGAACCTATGGGTTCTCATTCAAGCTACCACATTCCATTCCCTGGTCCCCAAAGGATTGCAGTTATAT